TGTGTGTGTGTGTGTGTGTGTGTGTGTGTGTGTGTGAGAGAGAGAGAGAGAGAGAGAGAGAGAGAGAGAGAGAGAGAGAGAGAGAGAGAGAGATTACTCAGATTGTTTTACTCTGGAGCTCAATGCTGACCATGGGGATTCTGTACTTGGTGGATGACTGTACTTGGTGTATTAGACCAAATCGGGATGAAACCGGAAGACGTGATCTCGAAGATAATGGCGAATCCTGACATTGCCGTTGCATTCCAAAGCCCCAAGGTTCAAGCTGCAATCATGGATGTAAGTTAATTATTGCACCATGGAATGCAGAGCTTTGTGTGTGTTGGGTGTCCACTTCCGTTTCTTGTGTTTTATTCTTTTCTTTTTGTTTTGCTGCTTGTTGCGTCTTGTTATCAGAATTGCGGCTTTTTGTAACATGCGAGCTCCTCATCCGCTGCCTAGTTGTTGTTAGTGTGTGTGTGCCGTTCGGTCACCATACGGATGTATCTGTCTCAGTTAGATTGAACTTGTGTCGTTGCCGATTCCTTGCTTAATGATGATTGCAGATTTTAAGAAAAAAAACAAGTTTCCCAGCACGTGTTGCTCCCCACGAATAGATTTGAGCATTGTTCCAAAAGAAAAAAAGAAAAAAAAAGGCCCTTTTGGGCACTTTTTTTTTCAAAACCGGTTTCCCGGTTCAACCCCCCTGGGCTGCTCCGGCTCCGGTTGGACCGGGGTAGCTCAACACGCCGGTTGCCAGCCCAGCACTGTTTTAAGAAGTCTCTTTTTTTTTTTTTTTTTTTTTTTTTTTAAACACCCCCTGCAGTGCTAGTGCTGCTGATAAAAGCAGGCACCACTAGCACCTGGGGAGAGGCTCCATCTATTGGCGGGGAGCGTCACCTGTTGAATCTGTGGGTGTGTGTCTCGACTTCTCTGTGTGTGTTTTTTCTGAGTTTTGAGCTCTTTGCTGCTGTCGTTTTTTCTGAATTTCCTGCCTTTTTTTTTCGCCTTTTTTTCTCGTTTTTTTTTGAAACAGGTTCCCCTATAGTCCTTCCTTCCTATGGTTCCTTTTCCCTTGGCAAGTCAGAATATATCGTTCGTTTTTTCTTTTTCTTTTTAATTGAAACAGTTACTCTTGTTTTCATACTTGTGGCGCATCTCATGCGTGGGGGTGTGTGGCATACTGCGTAGCCACACGGGCCCTGCAGGGGCCGTCCCGGACATTCAGCCTAAAAGCCTAAAACTTAGGGCTTACAGGCCCTGTTCGTTTCAGCCTGGATGCTGAAAAACGAGGGCCTGCAGGCCCTACCTCGTTTCAGCCTATTTCTGGGTCTTTTCAGACCCAGAGTTTTCAGCCTGAAACGGAGGGCCATTTTCAGGCCCCCATTGTTTCGACCTGCCCCTAAGACTCAGGCACGGAAACAGGGATGCGGAACAGGCCCAAAATAGCCTGTTCCTCACGTGCTCGAGCAGGAGCTGCAGCTGCAGCCCCTGCCTCCCTTCGGCAGGCTCAAGAGGCACACCCGTAGTACATAGGAGGTTCCCATGCACTTCACGGGTAGGTAGTGTCAGTAGGAGTGGTAGTCTTCAGGATTCGGCC